CCCTGCGGGACCTTGTACAGTTCCGCAGGGCCTGCAAGACGGAGCTCTTCCGCCAGGCTTTTGAGTAGGAGCCGCCGCCACTGCCACGAGACCATCGCTGTGGCTGATTGTCCATCTACCTGGCCTTGGGGGGAGAGGTGAGAAATGCCGCCCTGACAAGGAACATCATGCGGGCCCTCAGAACGGGGATATCATCAGCTGAAAATGAGACGTCCATCTTGAACTTTTGTTAATATGTATTGTAGAGCACCAATTTTAATTTATTTATCATGCTTTTAATGTAATGTATTTTATCCTCGGCGTTTGCCGCTTGTTGCCGCCCTGAGCCGTTGGGTAGGGCGGGGTATAAGTCCCAAAATAAATAAATAAATAAATAAAATCTTCCTGGGGCACAGGCTAGGTGTCAAAAAGACAAACTGCAAGCTGTGGTTGCCGCCAATGTTCCCTCTAAGCTGTGTAGTCTTGTGAGCAAAAATTCTACTTTGTGAGCTACTGGCATTAAAGTTGTGAGTGAGCGATTTGGCTACTGCATAAATTAGTTCGCTCTGGAGCCATCCTTCCTGAGCTAAGGGGAAAATGTGTGAGCTGGAAGCTAAAAAACTGTGAGCTAGCTCACACTGACTCAGCTTAGAGGGAACAGTGGACTTGCCGCTATGGGAAAAAAGCCTGGCGGGGGGGGGGGAATGGGCTCGCACTCTTCTTCCTCTTCCTCTTCATGTACGCTGATCTAATTAGATATGCTGCCTTCACAGTAAATCTCAGCTTGCCTTTATGTCCAAAATGACAAGGCGCACATTTGAGAGGCAACATAGTGCAGTGGTTAGTGCTGTCATAAGATCTGGGAGACCCAGGCTCAGATTCCCACTCTGCCATGGAAGCTGGCTGGGTGACTTTGCAGCAGTTGCACATTCTCAGCTTGACCTGCCACACACAGTTGTTGTGAGGATAAAATGGGAAAGGAAAGAAACATGCACTAAGCTCTTCAGAGGAAGGCCAGGGTAAAATGTTTTTAAAAGGGGGGTGGGGAATTGCCTAGTGGGGACCAGTTACATTTCAGCTGGTAAAGTGGGCTGCAGTCTACAAAAATGTTGGAGTGAAATCTTGTTAATCCTTAAGGTGCCACCATGTTCCTGTTCATTTCCACCGCAGCAGACTAACAAGGCTTCCACTCAGGGAAATGGCAAACCATAGCTTGCTCGTTTGGATGTGACCACTAACTGCAGTTTGCCCTAGATATATATAATTAACCTGAGCCCAAGATAATCCCTGGTTTGTTCCAACCGAAGGGAACCACGCTTTGCCGGTGAAATGAGGTGATGTGTCTGGCAGCACAGATTTCAAGTAGTGTTCAGTGTTTGAGACTTTGCCAGACAGGAGAAGTATAAACAGAAGTCGGTGGTGTCAATTTGTAATCGATCCTGATTTTTCAATATTTGGTGTCTTTCCAGGAACCTTGTCTCTGACAAGCAGGAGACTCTAGCACAATGTGCGGACTTCAGGAACAGTTTACCGTCCCAGGAGGCTATGCTGTGTTCAGGACCCTTAGCCATAATACAAGGGAGAACTTCCAAGTACGGCCACTGGCAATTTGTCTCTTTAAAGACTACTACAGTGTGTTGTTATCATTTTTCTTCTTTTCCTGCTTTGCTCGCTGAGCTCTTCATATCTGGAGCTGATTTCTCATCCTTTGATTCATGCACCTTTCCTCAGAGGAGGGCTTCCATGTGGAAGCCTTGGTTCTCATTTCTGGGTATGTGAATGGTGGGGACGGATTGTCAGCCGAGGCTTGCTCCCTTACCCGACTGCGTGGATAGCAGCTGCCATCCGTCTGGATTTATGTGGATGTCTAAATGCCATCCTTCTAGTTAGGCTGGCGTCATCGCGATAGTCCCATCCAAGCAAGAGAGGTTACCCACCACTTGCCACCCCGTATGCCTGAAACTGCTTGCCGGGACTCCTGTGTGACACCACTTCGCTTCCCGCCAGTCCCTCTTTGAAACCTTTGGTTACAGTCCTTTCGTCCCCCGTTCCCCTACTCAAGCTAAGCCTAAGAACGTGTGATTAGAACAAGCGCACATCCTTTCCCTGTTAATCCTGATCTCCCTCTTTGTGTCAGGTGTTTGTTACTTGTTTGTGGCAGGGAGCTCTCATACGGGGCAAGGCTTGTCAGCACTTTTGAGCCGTTTGGAGTGTTCCTCTAACACTCTGCCCAATGATGGCGTGGTTTTAAACTTTTTAAAAAAAGTTTCCGGGTAGTTGAGAAATGCCTTCTTATTACCTCTGTAGGTAACTGACAGAAACCTCCTGCTTTACTAAGTGCTGGAAAGAATATTTTAAGCTAAGGCTTTGATTCAGTGTCTTATTTTCGGGGAAACACGATAAGTGCTGGAAAGAATATTTTAGGCTAAGGCTTTGATTCGGATGGCTTCATCAGAAGCTAAGCAAGGGTCCGCCCTGTTAGTATTTGGATAGGAAGGAAGTCCAGGAAGTTCTGGGTTGCAGTGCAGAAGCAGGCAGCAGCAAACCACCTCTGGACATTTTTTTGCCTTGAAAGCCCTGTGGGGTCACTGTAAGTCAGCTGTGACTTTCCACCGCCAAAGCTTTGATTTCGGGGCTGTCCAGCGCTGGGCTAGCATCATGATTGAAGCATTTGTTTCCCCCCCGTATAATATCACATCTCTGGGATCATTGGCCATGCTCGAGCATTATCTCCAGAGGTCCAGAAAAGCCTCTTTCACCATGAATCATGTTGACGCCATAATGTTTGCACATGCACGCACTTGGACCAGCTGCCTCGCTACGCCTGAAAGCATTCCTGTCTCTGCTCTTCCATTGCAGTTCCGGGAGGCAAGCGGCACGATTGTTCTCCATGCCTCATTTAGTACAGCAGGAAACGACCCTGGCATACTTGGAGAGTCAAGTAGCAGCCGCTCTTACGTTACAGTCAAGTCACGAATACCGCCATTGGCTCCTTATCTATGCACGGTATCTAGTTAACGAAGGTGAGGCTTGCAGTGTTTTGTTCTTCAGTGTATTGCAATAGTGAGCTCAGCAGCCTGCACAGACGAATGTTTGGGGGTGGCATGTGGGGGTCCTTAGTTATCAAATTTGGTGGGGAGGGAGGTGTGCTCTTTTACAAAGTAGTTATTTAATCGCCTAGTCAACGTCCTGTCTAGTAGCTAGTCTTCCTCATTTTCTGATCACCTCAAAGAGTTCTTTTTTTTTTTTAACTTCATTTAAATTTTGAATTTCTTACCTGGACTCAAAGCAGTTTATAAGTACAATAGAAGCAGTCAATCAGTAAGCTGGTTACAAAATATGATAACATTTGAGTCTAACAGCAAAGATTCCTAGTGAAACAGCATAATGCTGGGATTGAAGAAGCAGAAGGAAAAAACAGACACACACACATATCTGCCCTCCACAAGTCTCGTGTTTTCCTGCTTATGGGGTAATAATTCTGACCCACCTTACCAAAATATTGTAAAGATTGCAACAAAATAATTTGAATACAGCAGTGCTGTATAAATGAGAAGTACTATTTATAAGGCAAGAGAGTTTCAGGTTTGCTAATTGAAGTGAATATTCAAAAGGCTGTGAATATTTGAAAGGCTGTCACATAGAGGATGGAGCGGAGTTGTTTTCTGTTGACCCAGAAGGTCTGAACTGAACCTGCAGATTGAAATTAAATCAAAAGAGTTAGCCTGAGAACTGTGAAAAACAAGATTTTTATCTTATTATACATGTATTCAGTACTGCAAGAATTTTATATGCTAAACATTGGAGGAAAAATGAAGTGTCTTCAAAAGAAGAAATAATAAACAAAATACTTGAAACTGTGAGATGGATAATTTAACTTTAATTTTGAGAGGACAAGATGAAGGAAGCTTTGAAAATACATGGTCAAGATTTTACAAATGGTTGGAAGACTACAATAAATAAACACAATGGACATATAACCGTATTAGAAGAAAGTACGAACTATATTTTTAAATATGATGCAAATATTTACACAAAATACATGGTGGTAAAAATGGGTAAGATACAAGTAGACAATGTATGAGGCAACATATTAGACATAACCAGGATGTAATGGAATACCCCAACTTGCATGTATTTATGTTTGTGTTTGTTTGTTTGTTACAAAAAATAAAAATTTCTTTGAAAAAGAAGAAAAGAAATCACATAAAAAGAGTTTTCAGCTAAACATTAGGAAGAACTTCCTGACAAAGCAGTTCCTCAGTGGAACAGGCTTCTTTGGGAGGTGGTGGGATCTTCTTGGGAAGTTTTCCATCAGAGGCTAGATGGCTGTTTGACAGCAATGCTGATTCTGTGACTCACAAGGACATTTAGGCAGGCCCAGGAGAGGGAGGGCAGGAAGGGATGAGCCAGTGCTCGGCTTTTAAGGCCCTTTCTTATAGGCCCAGGGTAATACCGATCGCCCCTTTGGGGTCAGGAACAATGTTCCCTCTAAGCTATAGAGTCTTGTGAGCAAAAATTCTACTTTGTGAGCTACTGGCATTAAAGTTGTAAGCAGGTGATTTGGCTACTGCCTAAATTGGTTTGCTCTGGAGCCATCCTTCCTGAGCTAAGACAAAAATGTGTGAGCCAGAGGCTCAAAAACCATGAGCTAGCTCACACTAACTCAGCTTAGAGGGAACATTGGTCAGGAAGGAATTTTCCTCCAGGCCAGATTGGCCCAGGGAGGTTTGCTGCCTTCCTTTGGGCACAGAGCAGGGGTCATTGGGTGGTGAAGGTAGTTGTGAATTTCCTGCATTCTGCTGGGAGTTGGACTAGATGACCCTTTTGGGTCCCTTCTGGCTCCGTGTTTCTAAATAGATGAAGCTGCCTCATACTGTATCAGACCATCTCCTTGTAATTCTCTCATTCGCTCAGCTCTTACTGGGTCAATGTAGCATCTTTCTTCCTGTGTCTCAGATGGGTAGTTCCTCAGTGAGTTCTGTCTCATAACATACACAGAGGATTTAATTTGATAATTTACAGAATACACCTTTGCTTCCTGTGTTCCTTAGGGTTTGAATATCGATTACGGGAATTATGCAAGGATTTACTGGGTCCAGTCCATTGTTCTCCTGGCAGCCAGTGGGAATCAACTGTTGTGGTAAGTTGCCATTGTTTCTTTGGATTGAATGAAACAATGCTCCTTGCATCTTTAGTTGTTGTAGATTTTCCGGGCTGTTTGGCCATGGTCTTGGCATTGTAGTACCTGATGGTTCGCCAGCAGCTGTGACTGGCATCCTCAGAGGTATAACACAGAAAGCTGGAATACTCTCTGTGTCAAGGTGAGAAGAAAAATGGTAAGCAGGTAATTTATATCTACTCAGGAAGGTGGGGTAGGGCTGAGTCATCATCTTGTAAGAGTTCCCCAGGCTGTGACATGCTAATGGAGGAGCTTTCTTGAGGAGGTTCTTTTGCATATGGATTGGCTGTTGAAATTCTAATCTTATCAGTAAGTGCCGTTGTGAGATGTAGAGCATTCCCTGAATCTGTTAAACATAACATAAAAATGAAATGGCTGATCAAGTTGAAAGGAACTCTTCTTGTGGATTTTGGTAAACTTTTTTTTTTATTTTAAGAGTGGGTTTTGGAAGATTGACAGGCTGTGCTTGAGAATGCTGGCTTCCATTTTTTCCTTATAAAAATTGTCCAGTGGAATGGTTCTGGGGCCTGATTCTTGTGAGTTGTCGTGGCAAAGTTGAGGGTTGAGTAGATGCTAGCAGTTGTGTTGAAGCAACGCCTCAACTTTGGACAATTTATTATTTTATTTATTCAGGAATTTCTACCCTGCCCTACCCCGCAAGTGCTACTGTATGCTGACTCATGGCGGGTTGGTGTGAGCTGTGGCAGCAACAGTCCCCAGGGTTTTGCAGAATTAGTGCCCGTAACTGTGTTTTTTGCAGCAGACAAACAGGTAGCACATCAGCACAGAAGAGCATGGGATCAACCAGCCTGAGGTCACCCTATCTGCTTTGTGGTTGTCTGCAGATTTGAACCCAAGTTTCCCAGGTCCTAGTCACTTTAACCTCTATACCATACTGGCTGTCCTGCATTTCATGATCCACTGATGCCACCGTTTACAGCTGTTTTCTTCATAGCCTTGTGAGCAGGGGGGATGAGCCAAGTGTGTCCCCTGCTTGTGCATCTGACGAAATGAACTCCAGTCCCTGGAAGCTTACTTTTAGAATAAAAGCATGTTAGTCTTTAAAGTGCAGCAAGACGGTCAATTGCAATGTAACACATGGTAAAGGTTTTATTTTTCTTTCCACTTCCATGCAGGGTTTACGAAAGCGAGAGCTACTCAAGGAACTGCTCCCCGTCATTGGACAGAACCTCCGTTTCCAGCGGCTTTTCACAGAATACCAAGAGCAGCTGGACATCTTGAAAGACAAATAGCTTCTTCCGCATTGTTCATCTGACCTAAGAGAAACTTGGCAGTGCAGCGTTATTTAACAAGCCAGAAATAGAGGGGCCGCTGTACAGACTGGAACACTCCTGGGAGGTGCAGTACAAGAACACGGGCCCAAGGTGTTTTAATGGGCAAAAAACACTGTAGGTTTTTTTTTTAAAAGGTCATGAAAGAAATACGTGGAAATGGGATGGACCAGGCATGTTCTCCAAACGCAGTTCAAGCATCGCCTCTGTGACCTGTAGTTGCTGTGGAAAACTGCGGAGATGTCCTTCTGGGATCCTTTTGCATCTGGATCTCAGTGCCAGAACTATTAAAGTGACTATCGAAGCGCCGTTGGGATTTGGGGATACAAAGTGAAAAGCACAGTACAAAAGAATGAATCTGACAACCTGCTAGCCCTTTTTCTGAGGTGCTTTGCCTAAAGATTCGTCAAGGCTCTGTCCTATATTTGGGTTAAAGGAGGAGCCCCCTCCCGCCCCCATGAAAGAAAACTTAAATAAAAAGAACACTTACATAATTATGCAGCCGACAGACTCTTAACTGTGAATACACTAAAATAAATAAAATACAGGCTGTTCTATCACACGGACTATTTTTGTACTAGAATTTGCTAACTTGTAATATGGAATTTTATTTGGCCAATAATAACCAGAATATTGTTCTCCCTGACAGAAGCTCCCCAGTTGTATAAAATTAAAAAAAAACACAAAACCTTGTTAATTATGACAGCTATTGTTGCTGAAGAATTGTACCAAAATTAACGTCTTCTGGTTTTTAATTTTTAACTGTTTGTAAAAGACATTTGGGGGGAATGAGGGGGGATAGCTGAAGGGGAGGGCTGGGATTTTTTGCGGGAGGAGGGGGGCTTTTGTAAAGTACAAATAATAAATGAACATTGCATTGATCTAAGAACAAAGTGGACGAACTTGTGCTGCTTGTGGTAGCATTAAACCCGTACAGGCCGCCGCCTGTTAAAACAAGTATGGATTTCAGCTTCTGCTTCTAAAGGTGTTTTTCTGTCTCTGCTTTTAAAAAAAAATCTCTTTTGTCTATATTTATTTCAGGGTTGCTTTTTCTAATCTGGTCCTTCCTTCAAGGGGTGCAAGGGCAGTATTCATCAGGTTTTATCCCTGCAACACTCCTGTGAAGTAGGTTAGGCAACCGGCTGGGAAAGGGGGGGTCATCTTGGTGAGCCTCATGGCTGAGCGGCAGTTTGAACTGAGGTCCTGCCAGTCATAAGAACATAAGGGGAGCCGTGCGGGATCAGACTCAAAGCCCATCTAGTCCAGCATTCTGTTCACACAGGGGACAACCAGCTGCCTCTAGGAAGCCCACAAAGAGGAAGTCTGCAACAGCATCATCCTGCCTGTGCTCCCCAGCCAGCTGGTATAAAGAGGGATGCTGCCTCTAGTAGCGGAGGGAGTAGATATCCATTATGATTGGTAGCCATTGATAGCACCGTCCTCCATGAATTTTTCCACTCCCCTTCTAAAGCTCTCCAAGTTGGTGGCCATGACCACATCCTGTGGCAGTGAGTTCCATAGGAACTATACGCTGTCTGAAGAAATACTGTCTGTCCTTCAGTGGATGACCCCGGGTTCTAGTATTATGGGAGAGGGAGAAAAGTTTCTCCCTGACCACTCTCTACACTCCATGCATAATTTTATAAACCTCTATCATGTCTCCCTTTACTCACCTTTTTTCTGGGCTAAACAGCCCGAAGTGTTTTAACCGATCCTCATAGGGGCAGCTGTTCTGGCTCCCTGATCATTTTGGTGGTGATTCTATGTTCATACATATACAAGACAGGTGTGTATTTTTAGATTGCAGGTGGAGGGATGAGACTGGGATGTTCTCACCAAGGAAATGCAAATTTTGCAGAAGAAATCCAAATTGTGGATCAAATATTATGCAAATTGTTGAAAAGTAATTAAAATTGCACATCTTTTGTACGAGGTTTACTTCTTGAGAAACAGCAAAGAGGTTATATCCGGATATCCATGAATTTGCAAAGTTGCCTTTGACTGAGCCAAGATCTTTGTGCTATCTAAACCAGTGTGTTCTCTCCCTGGATTGGCAGCAGCTTCTCCTAGGTCTCAGGCAATGACTTTCCAGTCCTGCTGCCAAGGCCTGCGATTTAATTCAGGGACACAGGACGAAGCAACCTTACCGAATTTAAGCAGGTCAGAATCTGACCATGATTGTTTCATAGCTTGGATCCTGAGCAACTGGATTTTATAAACTGACTGTAAGTGTAACATGTATGTAAGCACATCTGTCAAATGCTGAAAGATACTGAACGTGCAATCCTAAGTAAATCATTTTGTCTAAAAAACTTTGACTTCAATGGCCTTAGAAGGGTGTAGTTCTGTTTAGGACTGTGGTGTAATTTTTTTTAAACTCGAGCAAGGAAGCAAAGCAGGAAATGAGCAGAAAAATGAGTATAAGCCCCATGAGAATCTAGCAACCATATTTCAAACGTTACCTGTAACCCGTACAGAATCTTTCTTCTCTGCATAATGCAGGCTGCATTATTCCTGTTTCTTTTTTAGAATTACGTCTCCTAGCATGCTTGGCAGCTCCAGATTGGGAATCTTGTGGAGCTCTGGGAGTGGAGCATGGAGAAGGCAGGGTTTGAGAAGGGAAGGGTCCTCAGTGGCCTATAATGCCATTTAGTCCACCCTCCAGAGAAACTGTAGTCTGGAGAAAAGTTGTAATTCTGGGAGATCTCCAGGCTGCACCTAAGTGCCATCCTGAGCAGAGCTGCACCCTTCTAGAAACCACTGAAATAAATAATGTAACTGCTTAGGATAACTCCTTTATGACAAAGCCATTTTTTTAAAGCCATTGTAATTTTCCTCTATTCTTTCCCAGCCAGCTGCACTTTCCGGTGTTCCTAACACAGCCCAAAGATGCAAGTTGCCCAGTCCCAATGAGAAAGCCATGTAGTATTTTTTTTAATGAAGGTGATAGCACAAAACAGCAGTATGAACTTTTGAATGCCTCTCTTCTGGAAAGTGCAAACAGTTTACATGTTGTCTCTTATGTGTGTGTGTGTGTGTGTGTGTGTGTGTGTGTGTGTGAAGTGGCATCAAGTAGGGTTATACCAAATGTCCTCTTTTTAGAGGACATTCAGGTGTTCAGCCATGTTGGTCTGAAGCAACAGAACAAATTCTGAGTCCAGTGACCCCTTTAATACCAACAAAGGTTTATTCAAGGTATGAGTTTTTTGTGTGTCCATCTTTTTGTGTGTGTGTGTGTCCGTCCTCTTTTAGGCTCTTTTTAGGTTGGAAGGTTAGAAATATTCCTAGTTAGTAGCAACTATCACAGCTTAAATAGTAGGGGTATTTAACATGAGATTTGTCAAAGTGATCGCTTGTTTTAAGTAGCCTGTCGGGGAATATGTACTCTTTCTTGCTTTTCAAAATAGAATAGCCCTACATCAAGTCCCAACCTTATAGCCACCCCGTAGGGATTTCAATGTTAGAGCCGTTCAGAATGTAGCCCTCTATCCTGAAGCAGAACAGTTAAATTCGAGTCCAGCAGCACCTTAGCAACCAACAGGATTTCCCGGGTGTAAGCCATTGCATAGCGATCTTGGGCTTCCTTGGTGGTCTCCCATCCAGATACTTACTAGGGCCGACCCTGCTTTGCTTCTGCGATCTGACGACGACTGGCGTAAGCCATTTAAGTTAGAGCCATGCACAAACCAGCCGTTATAAAAGATGCGAGACGGCTAGTGGCGGGTGTAGAAAGAGCGGTCGGAACCATATAGCCGGAACCATATAGCCGTTCCATGTTTCCCCGCAGGGACGCTACTAGCGCCGTACTCTTTCCTATTCTCCGGAAGTGCCTTAACTTGTTTCTGTCTTCGCCAAAAGGAGAGTTTGGGAGGCTGGTTCTGGAGTGATCGGGGTGTGCCGGTTGCTTCCTCTTCTCAGCTCCTGGACAAAACGGACAGCGAAGGAGTGTTTTTGTCTCCCGAGTTTTGTGGTTGTGGCGACGAAGACTAGGAGCAGCCAACATGGGGAAGAGGCAACATCAGAAGGACAAGATGTGAGTGAAGCTGTTCTCCCCTCTGAGACGTTTATCGAGGCAGTTATAATCAAACCCGCTAATAGAGGCAGCAGCCCTGTCCGTTGTTCACAGGAACGAATGTCTGTTCTGCTCTACTGACGACTGGTCGGTTTGTTCTGTTGGCGGTGAAGTGTTTTCAAAATTATTTTTAAAGTAAGAAGCAGCGTTAGAACAACTAATGAAGTAGGATGAAAGGGAATCCCTCAAACCCTTTCTTAGTCCGCCCCCCTCCCCCGCTGCCCTTTGAGATAATATCATAAAAACATAGCTGAATAATGCTTGGGGTAAACGTTGAATTGAGATGTTAAATGGATCTTCATGAACAATGGTTTTTGCACCTAAGATAACACAAAACCACCCTATAGCATGCCACGAGGTAGCTGTGTTTGTTGCAGCAAAATCACACAGAAGTCTTGCAGCAATTCAAATGTTTTTATTTCAGTGAAAGCTTTTCCGTAGACCACCCCTGCTGTTTTTTTTCAGACGTCCTCCGTAAAATGAGTGCAAAGTGAAGATTCTCCCATAGCTTCAGGTGGGCAGCCATGTTAGTCTATAGTAGCAGAACAAAATCTGAGTCTAGCAGCATCTTGGAGCTGGAAAGTACCATTAAGTTGTAGCCAACTTATGATGACCCCACGGGGTTTTCAAGGCAAGAGCTGAACAGAGTGTTTTGCCATTGCCTGCCTCTGAGTAGCAAGCCTTGACTTCATTGGTGGTCTCCTATTCAAGTATTAACTATGGCTGACCTTGCTTAGCTTCCAGGATCTGATGGGATTGGGCTAGTCTGGGCCATCCAGGTCAAGGTAGCGGCACCTTAGAGACCAACAATATTTTCCAGATTTGCACTTTCATGAGCCCTCAAAAGCTGATGTTAGAATACAAAGATTCTAGCCACAAGATTCCTACTATACCAAGGTACTGCTGGTTGGGAAGACTGAGGCATTGACGGACACTGTGCTTCCCACTTTTGATGGTGTTCAGCTGCCCCTTGCTGAACTGGTTAAGAGCCTAGGAGTTATATTAGATCCAGCATTACTTCTGGAGAAATAAGTTAAAGCAGCTACAAAACAGCTTTCTTCCAACTCTGATTGGCCTGGAAGATGGTACCCTGCCTAGACTCAACCATTCTGGCTACCTGGATCCTTGCCGTGGTAGCACTGAGATTGGGCTACTCACTGTAAAACATTCTACATAGGTCTGCCCTTAAAGTCAACTCGGTGACTTCAGCTGGTACAAAATGCTGCAGCTTGGCTGTTGTCAAGGGCTAGGTGGAACATACGTGTTACATCCTTACATCTACTCTGCAGTCCAGTCTACTAGCTACCCATCAGTTACCGGACTCAGTTCGAGGTATTAACTATCCCATATAAAGCCCTTCATGGTCTTGGACCCTAATATCTGCAGGACCACCTCTTCCCTTATTCCCCACCATGACAACTTTGCTTATCTGAGCAGGGCCTTCTGCATGTACTACCCTGCTAATGGATATCAACAACTGTCTGTACATATGTATTTTCTGATGTGGCCCCCTCCTTGTAGAATGGCCTGCCTGAGAAGGTCAGGAAGGCCAGTTTTGCAAAGATGATAGGGCTATATCATAACAGAGTGGTTTAGGAGGTGTTTCAAGGAAGAGAGCAAGTCTGTGGATTTTACCACTGTGTACGGTATGTGTTCTCTATTCTATGAGCTACCTTGTTCTCAGTGCATTGTATTTTTGTTTATGTGCAATATCACCGGTTACATTTAATATTTCTGAAATCCCAGTCCTATTACATTGCTTATTAGAGGTCTCAACCTATTGATTGTGTTGATTAACCCTGTGTTATCCACCTTGAGGAAGGCAGACTATAAATAACGTAAAATAAATAAATCTACATCTAAGTGTCTCAGAGGGAAAAACACCACACCAAGGTGTTCACTTCATAATAAATATCAACTGAAGAATATTAACTAGGTCTGGGAAAGGTGACCATTAAAAAATTAGGTTAGTATCATGGTGCTTATGTTTTGTTTCTGTTACTTTCATTGGAAGGCTTGTGGGTTTTAAAAAACTTTGAATAAGTAAAGAGATAGAGGAGCATCTATCTAGTATGGAGAAGTCCTCAGGCAGTTAGCACTGTCAGACTGTTCTTCCGTGTCATGCATGTATGAGTGTATTGCCCTCCACATCAACCATAAGCACATGAATCGGGCTTATACTGAATCAGACCATTGGTCCATCTAGGTTAGCATTGTCTACTCCAGGGTCCCCAACCTTTTTGACGCCTGTGGGCACCTTTAAATTCCGACATAGTGTGGTGGGTGCAGCTGTAAAATGGCTGCCATGGAAGGTAAACCCAACTACAAAATGGCTGCTGCTGCTTACCTTCAGTCACACATTGGAGATCCTTGTTCCTTTGGCAGCAGCTGCCACCACATCACGTTTCTAAAATCTCTGCAGCCAATCGAATTTCCATTGGTCAGTCAGAAGCCTTGCCAGGCAAAAGCCCCATCTGGCCCCACTTCCCTCTTAAAAACACTTGGTGGGTGCCAGGAAAGGTGTTGGTGGCCACCAGGGGCCCATGAGCACTGTGTTGGGGCCTACTCTGACTGCTGTCTGTTCTCCAGGTGCTCAGGCAGACAGAGGTATGACCCAGCACCTGCTGCATGAGATCCCTTAACTGGAGGTGCTGGGGATTGACCCTTGGGACCTTCTGCATGCCAAGGAGGTGCTCTGCCACTGAGTCATGGCCCCTTCCATGTTGCAGTGGAGGCAGCTACTAAGCAACAATTTGAGCCAGTTTGGTGTAGTGGTTAGTAGCGCGGACTTTAGTCTGGGAGAACCGGGTGTGATTCCCCAGTCCCCACTCCTCCACAGGCAGCTACTGGTGTGACCTTGGGTCAGTCACACGTTCTCTCAGAGCTGTTCTCTCTCAAGCAGTCCTCAAAAGAGCTCTCTCAGCCCCACCTACCTCACAGGGCGTCTGTTGTGGGAAGAGGAAAGGAAGGAGATTGTAAGCTGCTCCGAGACTCCCAAGTGAAGAGTGGGGTATAAATCCCATTTCTTCCTCTTTATGTTCCACTTTTTGTAAAGAAGAGGCCCCTGAAGTGACTGATCACAATGGGGAAAAGTCAGTGCAAACACCAATTTAAAATCTAACTTAAGAGATGCTTGGGAAAGGGATGTTCAGCAAGATCTTAGACCAGCCATGCTGCTGCTTTTAACCTTGGGCCTCCTGGTTCCTTTGTGCCTCTGATGAGCAGCCTTTTCCATTCAGTGGTGTTATGAGGGGAGAGGCTGCGGCTCAGTGGAAAAGCCTCTGCTTTGCACACAGAAGATCCCAAGGGTCACTCCCTGGCATCTCCATTTGAAAGGATCAGGTAGTACGTGCTGTGAGGGACCTGTGCCTGAGACCCTGGAGAGCTGCCGCCAGTCTCAGTAGACAGTACTGGGCTTGGTGGACCGATGGTCTGATTCAGTGTGTTGTACATATTAGATTCCATGTCAAAAATGAAGTCAAATAAGGAAGAAGATCTATGTTTTATTTCAATTACCAGAAAAACAATTGGACCAAATAGTCCATCCAAAATTGACTACTTTCTTCTCAGCATATTCAGGAAATATGCTTCAATTAACAGGAAAACAATTAGACCAAATAGTTAATCAAAAATTGACAACTTTCTTCTTTTTCTTCTTCATCTTCTTCTTGAACATATTCTGAACATATTCAGGAAATACACGATATTTTATACATGGACTGACATCATCAAGAAAACAATATTCAAACAGCATAATTGGTTACAAAAGACAGTGGTAATTTGAGTAATAATCCTCTGATTGGCCAGATATAAAGAAACATATATCTACGTCAAACTAAGTGTTTACTTAACCTAACCTAAATGATAATGGGCAAGGATTCTTCATATCCCAAACAAAAGTATTCATTACTGATAATGAGACTAAAATCGTCTCTGACCCAGACATTGCAAGGTTTTGCCCTTAAGAACTACAGAATCATGAACTTTGTACCTATTATGTTGTCTGCTAACAATATCAGACCTACAAGAGGAAAGCCTTCTATATAACAGGCCTTTCTAACATCCTAATAAAATATTACTTAAAGAATAAATCTATAAAAACCAGAGAAATATGAATATGAACAATCAAGAAGAAAAAAACCTATAAAAATCTTTATATTCCCATTCATACTACAAGTGTAAGGCAGCTTCACATGTATGTTCATGAAGGACGTTAAACTCCTGAATTTTGCATACCGGTCTTTGTGCATATTTCATAAAACATTTGTGGGAGCAGCTGTTCCTGTTTCCGAACAAATTGTTCTTGCCAAAAAGAGAAACTAACTGCATCTTTCACTGCTTTAGGTACATAACATGTACAGAATATACTCATTTCTATGGAGGAAAGAAAGCAGGTATGTGGATCCACAAAATTCCTTCTTTTTCTTTTTCTTTTTTGTAGTTAATGTTCTTTTTTCTTTTAAAAACATTTTTGTGTCTAATGGTCTTTTGAAATATATTCAGTGTGCTGTCTAAACTAAATGTTGTGAAGGTGTGTTAGTTTCAACCATGAGATCTCCAGCAGGTTGATTTGGGTACCCGGCTACTCCTCATGGCCATTTACTGTGAAATATCAAGTTCCTAGTGAAGCTACCATGGCCAGGAACAGGAGAGCGGCTGCCCTCTTTTCTGTTTACTTGCTAAGCTTTAAGGGCCAGTCACTGTATGCAAGCAGGTAGCCCACAGCAGCCTCCCTGGGAACTGAGCTGCTTCAGAGCACAGGTGATCCTGTGGCTGAAGGTGTTGTAAGTGCTTTACTTGCGGAGAAGAAGCATGTCATAGAAAAAGTCAGCTGGATTCCTCCTTTCTGGTGTGTTACTTTTCCTTAAGTAGAGAGTTTTAATATGCAGAGTATACGAAGGTGAAGGTAGATAATGAATGTTTAATGCATTGGCCAGGCCTCACCTTTAGTATCGTGTGCAGTTCTGGAGGCCTCACTTCAAAAAGGATGTGGACAGAAAGGAGCGGGTGCAGAGGAGAACGACGAGGATGATCGGGGGCCCAGAGACCAAGCCCTATGAGGAAAGGCTGAGGGACTTGGGAATTTTCAGTCTGGAGAAGAGGAAGGTGGGGGGGGGGACATGATTGCTCTCTTTAAGTATTTGAAGGACTGTCCCTTAGGGGGACGGGGACATGATTGCTCTCTTTAAGTATTTGAAGAGCTGTCCCTTAGAGGAGGGCAGGGAGCTGCTCCTGTTGGCAGTGGAGGATTGGACTCGCAAGAGTAGGTTTAAATTAAGGGCAGAAATGTACAAGCTGAGTATTAGGAAAACCTTTTTTACAGTGAGAGTTGTTCGGCAGTGGAATCGGCTGCCTGGGGAGGTGGTGAGCTCCCCCTCCCTGGCAGTCTTGAAGCAGCAGCTGGACAAACCCTCGTCAGGAATGCTCTTGGCTGATCCTGCATTGAGCAGGGGGTTGGACTAGATGGCCTGTATGGCCCCTCCCAACTCTGTGATTCTATGATTCTGTGAATATAAGAGGGAGCATTCCAGCTATGTGAGCTATCCCTTCCAATCTGAACTAGTATTTATTTTTAACAACACTGCATTATGTTATCTTTCAACGTGCACTGCTGTGTATGAATGTCTTCACAATGGGGAGTGACAGCACTCTTCCGTCTAGCTTGATATACGCTCAGCTGTCCTTCTCCCTTTATCTTAGCAGCCTCGTTCACATGTTAACCGTGAATGCTGTTTGTAAGAAAGAGCCTGCACTCATTCACTTTACAAACTAAAACGGGACTGCTGTCTGCATAAATGTGGGGTTTAAATCACACATCCGGCTGTCCAGACATTGAATGGAGCAGGAGAATTACTCCAGCACGTAAAAAGAAAAATCTACACTGTACACAGTTTGCACACGCATTTACTGTAACTTGTGAACATGGCTTTGGTGTGCGTGCAGGATTCATGTCCCATTCCAAAGGCTTGCAACAGGGGTTCCCAGCATGGTGGCCAGAGGTGCCTTGGCCCCTGCTGACACCTTTCATGGAGCCCATGAAAGTGGGTGGGGCCAGGTGGGGCATTTGCCCATCTGGGCTACTGATTGGCCTTCGAAGAGCTGATCGGCTGTGCAAATTAAAACACCATTGTTTCAGTGGCAGCTGCCACCACAGCATTTGTTTTAAGAACATAAGAGAAGCCCATGTTGGATCAGGCCAATGACCCATCCAGTCCAGCACTCTGCGACACAGCGGCCAAAAATACCAGGGGCCATCAGGAGTTCCAGCAGTGGGGCCAGGACACTAGAAGCCCTCCCACTGTTGGCCCCCCCAAGCACCAACAATACAGTGCATCCCTTGCCCCAGAATGAGAGTTCCTATCTATACCTTGTGGCTAATATCCACTGATGGACCTCTGCTCCATATGTTTATCCAGTTCCCTCTTGAAGTTGTCCATGCTTGTAGCCGCCGCCACCTCCTGTTGGCAGTGAATTCCATGGGTTAATCACCCTTTGGGTAAAGAAGTGCTTCCTTTTATCTGTTCTAACCTGACTGCACAGCAATTTAATTGAGTGCCCACGAGTTCTTGTATTGTGAGAAGGGGGGGGGGAGTACTTCTTTCTGTAGCTCCTCTATCCCTTGCAGAATCTTATAAACCTCGATCATGTCACTTCAAGCATGTCACCCCTTTTATCCACTCTCACCCCTGTCTTCTAGTGTATTTTTAAACTACCCCTCTTCTCTCCTGCACTTGGGCTTCCTCTGTGTGTGGGGCTCCATCTCCTGCAGCATTTGTGGTTACCCCCACTACCCTGGGTCAGAATTCCAAAGGTGCTCCAAAAGGCTGGGGACCCCAGGCGACAACAGTTTTTATGCCAACAAGACTCTGAATTTCCTTCTGGAAGAATCGGCCCTCCAGTAGCCCTTCTTCCTCTAGCCCGGAAAGGACTAATCGCCCCCCTTTTTTCCTATCACGGCTGGTGTCATAACAGTCTTGAATTGAAAACTGTGGGCTTTTAAGCCACGTTCATTGATAAAACTTATCTCACTAGACCTTTTGCCGTCCTTTGCTGTCAGCATCTTCAGTGATCAGACTGTTGTTGTAAAACTAATGAGCATCTTAAGGAGGAAAGTCTGTTTACATCTGTGCGATGTGGGTGGGACCTCAGTTTGTGTCCTTATGCTGGCATCGACTGGAATTTTCTGTTCTCTGTGAAGTAATTGGAGGATGACGTAATTGTATCTCCCAGTCCGTGTTCCCTCTAAGCTGAGTTAGCGAGCTAGCTCACAGTTTTTTAGCCTCCGGCTCACACATTTTTGTTTTAGCTCAGGAAGGATGGCTCCAGAGCAAACTAATTAATGCAGTAGCCAAATCGCTTGCTCATAACTTTAATGCCGGTAGCTCACAAACTAGAATTTTTGCACACAACACTCCACAGCTCAGAGGGAGCATTGATCCCAGTTGATGTTCTGAGGGAGCTGCTTCATCTCAGTAGCTTCTCTTCTAGATAAATTATAATAGCCATTAATCTTTGCAATTGCTTCTCCTTTTTATCAACGTACATGGCTTAAAAGCCCCCCCAAAATTAATTAAAGATTGTTACCAAAGCAACACCTTCATAGACGAGGGAGGGCTCTGCATGCTTGGGGTGGGGTTCTCTCCAGGTTTGTGGAAATATAAATCCAGAAGGGAGGGCTTCATCAAATAGAGTTTGGAATGTTGAGAGCAGTTGTAAGGCATTAAAGGGGATGTTGAGTTTGGAACATTTGGAATGTTGAGAGCAGTTGTAAGGCATTAAAGGGGATGTTGAGTTTGGAACATTTGGAATGTTGAGAGCAGTTGTAAGGCATTAAAGGGGAAAAGGGGTGGGGGATCAGCGTGCTCAAGGTATTGCAAGCTGATATAATCTTGGTTACTACAGAGGTGAGGCTATCCAAATGGTTCCTTGCCTCCCAATCCCTGCCCCACAATTCCTCAGCAGCCCCCAGCTTGTGTCATTTTAATACCTAAACTGGGTATGATGAGGAGAGCTGTCTGAGAATACAGGCTTCATAGATTTTAATCTGCTTGAAAGGGTGTTTGTTCTCGACTACAGCTACAGTTTTTGTAAAACCAATTCAAGTTTGTTTTTTGTTTTTGTGTTTTTTTGAATTTGGAAACAGTTTTTTATGGGGAAAATCTCAAATGCCCCCCCCCCCCATGTATTCATCCCAGCTTTCACAACATGCATAAAATGTTTTCCTCTTCATTTTTGAACAGAAATTCCACAGTCCAACTTCAGACGTCTGCCTTTCGATCACTGCAGGTAAGGAGCAGTGCAGCAGTTTATTTGAAAATGTGCCCCAGGCTGCTTGACCAGTTTCCGAAGCAGCTTACATTATTAAAAAAAAAAAAATCATCATATCCGCTCCAAAATATATAACTATACATAACAACGGCAGCAATTAAAATCCAGTCAGTTTAGACCAGTACAGCAAAATATGGGAACAGAAAGTTAAAAATAAAATCCATGTCTCACAAAGCAAACCTCAATTCAGGGTGAGTAAAACGATTTTAGCCTGGTCCCTAAAGCTAAAGAACACTCAGCACCAGGCAAGCAGTTGGGAGGAGCACATTCTACAGCTAAGGGGCTGCTGTGGAAAAGACCCTGTCCCTGGTGGAGACACAAAGCTGGGGGGTTCACAGAACAGGGCTATGCAGAGGAGTTCAATTGCTGGGCAGGTTCATATGGAATCTTGGTCTAGCATAGATGAGACTTGGGTCCAAATGCTCGCTGGGTGAACTTGGGCTAGTCATTCTCTCTCTCTTAGCTTGGCCTGCCTTGCAGGGTTGTTTTGAAGATAAAATGAGAAGGGGAGGGAGAACCGTGTGCTCTGCATTGTTGAAGGGAGGTGGTGGTGGGCTGTGTGTGTGTGATGGGCCTTATGGAGAGAGAGAGAGAGAGAGAGCACTGGCTATCATTTTTAGTTGGCTTTTATGGTGCATTGATTTCCTTTTTTCTTGACGAAGACCGTTCACATAAACAGTGTGGTTTCTATCCTTGTGTGTGTGTGTGTGTGTGTGTGTGTGTGTGTGTGTGTGTGTTAAGTGCCAACAAGCCCCTTCTGACTTACAGCAACCCTAGGAATTAACATTCTCCCAAATGTCCTGTCGTTAACAGCCTTGCTCAAGTCTTCTACCCATCTATCAAGTGCATAGGAGGGACAAGTAAGAGACTTGTGGCAACCTACCCTTCATAGTTTGGCCATTAATAAGGCTGAGCTGAGGAGCTGCGGTGGCTCAAGTGGTTAAGACGCTGAACTGCAGGCTGTGGAAGGTCAGTAGTTCAGCAGTTCGAGACCCGAGTTGCCGCATGACGGAGTGAGCTCCCGTCTCTAGTTCCAGCTCCTGCCAACCTAGCAGTTCGAAAGTAAGAAATTGCAAGTAGATAAATAGGTACCACTTCGGTGGGAAGGTAACAGCGTTCCGTGCGCCTTGGTGTTTAGTCAGGCCGGCCACATGACCACGGAAACGTCTTCAGACAGCGCTGGCTCTTCGGCTTTGAAACGGAGATGAGCACCGCAACCCTAGAGTCAGCCTCGACTGGCTTTCGAGCAAGGGAACCTTTACCTTTACCTTTAAGGCTGAGCTGAGTGGCTTGCTTATAATTTTGTCCCTTCTAGTGATGGTTAATTTATACCGATTCTAAAACGTGTATTTTTTTTTTGCTCTCCTTCCAACCCCCAGCTTATCTTTGCAGCCGTTTGAATATCCCGTTTGCACGCCAGAAGGAATCGTCTTTGACTTGTTGTAAGTTTTGTTCCTTTCCTGTTTCACTTTATCTTGCTGGTATCAGTCCTGGTTTACCAGTCAGCGTGTATGTAACACGTAATGTGGTAGGAATTATCACTGATGGTGCGAGAGGAAGGCAGGAAGCGGATATTTTAATAAATAAATATGGAAAGAAGCGGCTAAACGGAATGAGCTTTCATGAGTCACGGCTGACGTCTTCAGATACAGCTTGTTGTATCTAGCTGTATCTGAAGAAGTGAGCCGTGACTCACAAAATCTCCTACCCTGCCACATACTTTGTTAGTCCTGAAGGTGCTACTGGACTCTTGTTCTTTTCTACTACTATAGACAAACACGGCTACCCATCTTGATTTGCTTGCTGTAAGATCGCTACATATGGGTCAGTTACCTCTTATGACACTTTAACACCTTCCATCAAAGCCGTCCCCTGAGAAAGCCCATCTCCCGCTGCCTGCCTGCCTGCCTTCCTTCCTTCCTTAGAAACATTATCAGATGGTGTGAACCGCTTCATCTCCTTCTGAATGCAGGTTTTTAAAAACGTAAAGCAAATAGAGAACTAGAACATCTCAAACTAATCTGCTAAATCCAGTTCTGTCCCTCTCCCCTGTGGCTTTCTGTGCTGGTTTTCTGTTTGCAAGGAGTTTTTAATGCATTTGAGCTTTCCAAGTGAGACCCTCCATCTTCATTTAACGTGGAACATCCATTCCACTACCTGAGTCTCTACCTCCTCATTCTCCTCTGTGCATGAGCCAGGCTGTATGGATTTAGACAGTGTGGAGGCAAAGATGAGACCTTCTGACTCCTTTTCTCACGGTTGCATCTTTTTCTGTTTCAGGAGTATTGTTCCTTGGCTAAAGAAGTATGGAACCAATCCAATTACCGGAGAGGTAGGTGTTCTTGGGCTACGTACAGTGCGATGGGTAACATAAAGGCTTATCTCCATCATTCCCTATTCCACATTCTCACTTTCTCTTGATTTGTTTCCACTTTGCTTTGGTTTCTGCTTCGAAAGGGATGTGTGCAGGGGTGTTTGTCAGCATGGATATGCCCCGATCAGTTTATGAGATTGGAGTGTGGCTTGCCTTCTAGTTTGAAACTGGTATCACGTAGTGGCTAAACAGAGTGAAGTTTGTAGTTTGAATCTCACTTTGTGCCCTGAACTTGCCCTAGTTAGTGGCAGTAGATTCAGGGTGGACACATGAGTTGTTAAAATGTGGAATCTGCTGCCAGAGGATGTATTAATGGCTTTAAGAGGGAACTAGTCAGTTACGGAGGATAGGTCTGTCAGTAGCTACTAGCCCTGGTGACCAAAGGAAAACCTTCACATTCAGAGGCAGTAAACCTCTGAATATCCACGCCAGGGAGCAACATCAGGGGAAGGCCTTGGCTTCTATGCCCTGTTGTTGAACCTCCAGAGGAACTGGTTGGCCACTGTGTGAGTTGGGATGCTAGATGGATCATTGGTCTGATCCTGCAGGGCTCTTCTTATGTTCTTATAGAATAGCACTGCTACCTCTGTAATGAAGAAACCGCAAGGTAGTTATGAGCCCCATCTTACAACTGGGGGTTGGGTGGGGCTGAGAAAGGCAGGACTTGCGTAAGGCCACCTGGTGAATTTGTAGGAGAGGCTGTGTTTGGAAGCCTCCCTGATCACAGCTCACTCTCTTAGCAGTCATGCTAAACCACCTCCCAAGACTATATATTGGTCTGCAGCCAGCCAGCTTTTCCACTCAAATTCCACTCCCGACTACAGCCCCCCATCCCCACATGGCTTTTGTTCATGCAGGTTCTGTGATCCCCAGGGTAGCCTCCTTAATGCTCAGAGGGGAACCCCCCCCCTCTTTTTGCACCAGTGGAAAATCTTGTTGGCTCTGACCTTTTAAGCCCAGATCTGGGGGCCTTATTATCTTCTTCCTTATAAAAATAAAGTAGCTATATATGTGCCAGAGATTGATTGCAGTGATAACTTTTCTCCTAGTTTTTCCTCTACCTTTTAGATGACTCGATTGCTATACTGCTGCTCCCAGCACTGCATTTAACCCTTTGGCCTTGCTAGCCACATTTAAGAGAAAGAGAGAAGGGCTTTTCCCTTCTCTTGTCTTTTATTAGATTTTGGACCCAATGTTTTTTAGTGTCTGCCCAGGGATTTGGGAGTCTTCTTCATTCTGTGCCATCAGAAAACAAATATACTGACTTTGAACTTGGTGTAAAACTCTGCAGTGTGTCTGATCCAGGAGCTTAATTAAGTTTATTGCCTACTGAACCTCTTCTACAGTAATTGAAACTTCTAGTTTAGTGTTATGTTTTCTATTAAAGCTGGACGTTGCAGTCTTGCGAGAAATGTCCTGAGATCCTGGCCAGCCTCACAAAACTCCAAGGAACACTTCCCTCTTCTGGAGAATGGGAACATATATTGCTCTGCTTGGTGTTTATAGAAGGCATGAGCTTACATTTGGATTTTGCAACAATCATTGTGACTTTAGCTGTTGTAGACTTTGTGGAATCAAAGGCTTCCAACAATCATTGTGACTATTTACCTGGTTTGTATTTCTATTTAACTGTGTTTTTCATTGTTAGGATGCTTGTGCTATACCTATAGGCATTCAGCAGTTTCATCTTGTCCTTAGCAGTGTTCAGTTTTGTCCTGTCATCCCCTTTCCATATTGCTTTCATATCACTGTAGGAGTTTTATCTGGTTCTACCAGACTACATCCTGCCACGCTGGATAGCAGACTTTGAACATTACTCCCACTTGCGTGGTTCTTCTATTGGCGGAAGGGTCACATAAGTTGGAGGAAGACTCCTTAGGCTAGAGGGAAGCTTTGAATTTTGAGAAAGCAGAGCAGTAGGATACAGGCCACTGTTCTTTGTTCCCTTTCTCTCCTTTTTAACAGAACTGATGCAATTGCTTTTCAAGCTGTAAAAGCTGTAAAAGTTGTAAGAACATAAGAGCCCTGCTGGATCAGACCAGTGGTCGATCTAATCCAGCATCCTGTCTCACACAGTGGCCTCAACCAGTTCCTCTGGACCGTCAACAACAGGGCACAGAGGCCAAGGCCTTCACCTCCTGTTGCCTCCTGGCTCTGGGATTCAGAAGCCTAGTAGTCACTGATAGACTTGTCCTCCATGAATCTATCTAATCCTCTTTTAAAGCTGTTTATTCTTGTGGCCTTCACTACATCCTCTGGCAGCGAATTCCGCATTTTAACCACTCTCTGTGTAAAGTAGTATTTCTTTTTGTCCGTCCTGAACCTACTGCCCATCAGCTTCACTGGACGGCCTCGAGTTCTAGTCTTTTGGGAGAGGGAGAAAAATCACTCTTCGTCAACTCTCTCCACCCCGTGCATAATTTTACAAACCTCTATCAAGTCCCCTCGTAGTCATTTCCTTTATTATTTATCATTGTGGCTATTTACCCCTCGTAGACATTTCTTTTATTATTTATTTATTTATTTATTTGGTGTGTTTTTTTAAACCCTGCCCTCCCCACCGAGGCAGGCTCAGGGCGGCTTACATAAGAAAACAATAGATAAAATCACAATAGAAATATCAATACAAAATAAATGATAGAGTATTGAAACCATTAACATAACGATGGCGATACGGCTGTGGTGAAGTGCATATAGAGACATACATTCAGTGGTACATCCACTCTCGGCGGGCTTTTCTAAACTGAAAGGTCCCAGACTCTTCAGCATTTCCTCATAGGGAAGGGGCTCCAACCCCTTCATCAAATTTGTAGTAGCATCGATGAAAGCTGTATCTGAATAGGGAATAAGGTAGAGGCAAGGCATAGGGGAGGCAGGTGGGCGTGGATTGTATGTTGTTTCCTAGGTATTTTAGAGAACATGGTTGGGCAGAGTAGTGCACGCCACGCAGTGGATTCTTCAGAGCACTGCAGGAGCTGTGTCACTGCAAGCCACTGTGCTTGCTGCATGAACTGACAGAAGGTGAGCAAATCGCTGTATAAATCTTTGGTCACTCATCCTCAACAATTCCACATGCCAGTGAGGGAGGATCGTTTTCTACAGGGGCACATCGTGGGGGGCTGAGTCTTGGCCGGGAGCCAAAACTGCTGAGTCTATTCCTTGCAGAACAAGCATGCAGTAGCCACGGCATATATACAGTGTTTGGGAATCACATGCTCTGCTGCTGCCTTCAGGATCCCTCCCCACCAGGAGAAACGATGGCTGAGCGGTGACTTGATCGAGGTTTATACGATTATGCATGGGATAGAGCAGGTAGAAAAATAAGTACTTTTCTCCCTTTCTCACAATACAAGAACTCGTGGGCACTCAATGAAATTGCTGAGCGGTCAGGTTAGAACAGATATAAGGCAGTACTTCTTCACCCAAAGAGTGATTAACACATGGATTTCACTGCCACAGGAGGTGGTGGCGGCTACAAGCATGGACAGCTTCAAGAGGGAATCGGATAAACATATGGAGCAGAGGTCCATCAGTGGCTATTAGCCACAAGGTATAGATAGGAACTCTTGGTCTAGGGCAAGTGATGCTCTGTATTCTTGGTGCTGGGGGGGGGGGCAACAGTGGGAGGGCCTGGCCCCCCTGGTGGACCTCCTGATGGCCCCTGGTATTTTTGACCACTGTGTGACAGAGTGCTGGACTGGATGGGCCATTGGCCTGATCCAGCATTGTCTTCTCTTATGTTCTTATGAGATGGGAGAGCAGCCCAGAGGCCTCTGAATTCTTGCAAGTATCTCTGGGGCAATCTCTTATTTCCTGCTAGGAGGGTTGCTGGCAAAGGTGGAGTCCCAGCTCTGTTGCACACCTTTGAGACCCAGTTATTCTGAGAGTCACCTCCACTTCCTCTAGTTGCAGTTGGAAGCCAGTTATTAGAGACAGGAAGCTGTGGTTGGGAGGGGGAGATGGGAGCTGCGAGAGAGGGACCCCTGAGTTCCTTGAGTTGACCTGGCTTGTCAAAGCCCTCAGTGGTCTGGGACCCTCATACCTACAGGACCTCCTCTCCCATTACAACCCCCCCTGCTCTCTTCAGTCATCATCTGACGGCCTCTTGCCAGGTGCCTGGCCCCAGGATGGCTCGGTTAGCTGTCACCAGGAAAAGGGCCTTCTCAGTTGTGGCCCCTACCCTGCGGAACGCACTCTCGGATGACCCCCGTGCCCTGCCAGACTTGTTTACTTTCTGCAGGACATGCGAAGCCCAATTGTTTAGGTTGGCCTTTGGAGGGTAATCACATGTTTGGGCTATATTAATGGTGGTATGGTGATAGCCACATATTTTAAATATTTTGTATTTGTTGTCTGATTTATGTTGTTTTTCCCTTACTGCTTTTAATGTTGTAAGTCGCCACAAGACCCTTTGGGTGAGTGGCAACTAAATAGTCTAATAAATAAATACATAAAACATCTACAGAAGCCAGCCCTGGCTTTAATACTGGGAAATGGAGCACGTAAATTACATTTGTTTCAGAATTACCAGGTACTTGATCTGTGGCATGTTAGATAAAAGGTGCCAATATTTATTAACAATAGTCTTCACTGATGTAAATGTGCTATTGTAGGTAAGAGGTATAATCATCCTATCTTCTCTTTGATTTTGACGTCTGGGTGTGAGTAAAGTTGTTCTTGGTGTATTGTAAGCTCTATAGTATGCTCTCTTTAGGTTTCTATATGTGTAGCCTCTATCGGCAAGTTGATTCATTAAGATGCCTGCCTGTCTCCTAAAGTCATCTGTCTCACTGCAGTTCCTTCTCAGTCTTAAAAATTGTGAGTAAGGCAGGTTCTTCTTAATATGGGCAGGGTGAAAACTTGATCTGTAGCCACATTGTGCCCTGTAGTGTGTGAATGGTCTATTTAAGAAATTCCCCCCCCCCCCCCCGTTGCATTCTACGCTGTGGGTAGCTGAT